CCAACCTCCCGGCCCCACGGGCCCCGCAGCCCCCCCCGCGTGTCCCCCCCTCACGCCTGTCCCCTGCCCCCTTCCCCCGCGGCTCCCTCCGCGCTCCCCTTCGCAGCGCTCCGGGGCGGCCTTGCCGTCCCCCGCGCGTCGCTGTGGCCCTTCGGTCACCCCGAGGACGGCCGCAGTGCTCCGCGTCCCTCTTCCCCCCGTGGCGCCCGTCCCTTCCCCGCCGCATTAACGCTCCCGTTTGTCACCCGCCACGTCCCGGTGACCCCCCGGTTAGCGAGGACGGGGAGGCGAGCGCTGCTCCCCGGGCGCTGCGGGGCGGCCTTGCCGTCCCCCGCGCGTCGCTGTGGCCCTTCGGTCACCCCGAGGACGGCCGCAGTGCTCCGCGTCCCTCTTCCCCCCGTGGCGCCCGTCCCTTCCCCGCCGCATTAACGCTCCCGTTTGTCACCCGCCACGTCCCGGTGACCCCCCGGTTAGCGAGGACGGGGAGGCGAGCGCTGCTCCCCGGGCGCTGCTCCTTCCCTGCTCCGGAGCCCGGCTCCGTCCTTGGGAAGCGAGCGTTAGGGATGCGTTGTGTCCATGGGAAGCTTGGAGAAATCATGGAGGTGTTTGTGCTTTTCCAGGGGTGCTTGGGCTTCGCTCTAAGGAATTCCGTTGGGTTTTGTGTTAGTCGGATCCTGTAGCTTAAACTGATGAAGGGGACAAGATCTGCTGGTCATCTGACCCGCACGGATGTAAATGAGCCGTAACCCTATTGTAGTCGGGGAATTAGGCTGGATTTAGACTGGTGCAGGTGGAAGAGGAATCAGTCGTACGTCCCCACCTTCCCGTATCCACCTGCGCCGGGTGCTGCATTGCACGGGACCTCTGTCTTCCTTATTTATTTTATTGGGTGCCTGTAGAGATTTCCCTTTCCCCTTGGAAAACGTTGCCCCAGGCGTCGCATCCAGTGTCCTCCAAGGCCGAGCGCTTCCCTCTTGCCGGCGCTCGGTGGCAGCTGGAGGAAGACATCAATTTGGATGGTCCTTTCTGCCATAAAACTCCATAAAGTTATGAACAGTCCTTTGGAAAACGAAAGGAGCTGTTTTTGTGCAACTCATTTAAAAGAAAAAATCCCATCCAGAAGTGCCAGTGTTTTCCCTCATCTTCTCCGATGTTTATTGCAGGAATGGATTTACAGGCCCTTCAGGGCTTGAGCCTCTGTGAAAAGCTATTAGAAGATTTTTAAAGCAGAGGGTGGTGATCAAATATCCTTGCTAATCGTAAGTTTTTGCAGCCTGCCTTCCTGAACCTGAAGGACTTTATAAAATGGATGCTGCAGCCTTCAAGAGACGAGCAACCGCGCCAGCGTAGCATGCCAAAAATTCTTAGGAGTGTTTTATCCAAGGAGAGAAATAGTTAATGTGCGTTTGCAGGCTCGCGTGCGCTCGGCTGCCATCCCGCTCGTGCGTCCCGATGTCTCCGTGCCGGCTTGGCGCGGCCACCGTGGCCACCGGGCAGCCGGTTGGTGGCCAAGCCCTCGTGGGGACGTCCTGCCCGAGAGCCACCCCGGCCGCCCTGGCCCTTCTGTGGACTTTGGGTTTCGCTGCATCCTTTTAGATGGCAACAAAGGGACAGGCGAGTTGAAACCAGGTCACCCCGTGCACAGGCTGAGCCGGAGCGGCCTCGGCGCCCGTCTCCGCTGCGCCGCCTGGCCCGGCCATCGCCGTGATTCACGGTCACATTTGTTTAAAAAAAAAGTTTTTTCTCTGCCCTGTTGCTACGTGACAGACCCAAACAAACACCGGGGCCGCTCGAGGGAGGCCCGAGCCCTTCGCGGGGCCGCGATCGGCCCTCGGAGGAGGCCGCGGGTCTGCCCGGGGCGCTGTAAACAAACCAAAAATAGAGGCCCTGCAGCTCCGTTCCTCCGCGCGCCGCAGTCCTGCACGGGGCCGGCGGCACCTCTTGGCCTCCGAGGGGGCCGTGTGTCCGTCCCGGCGCCGTTCCCGTTCCTCTTGGTTTTCCTCCGCTTGCTTCGGTTCCGCGCTCCTGCTCTTGGGAGCTCCGGCCTCGGCGTTATGGGAACGTGGGACATCCGTGGCCCTGCACGCGTGTGCACACCCGAACCTCGAATCTTCAGTGTTTTACATGGAAATATTTGCTTCTCTCTGAAATTTACAACACCACCTGGAAACAACCCCCATTGTAGCCCCTTCGATGCAGGTTTTAGGCTGTTCTGTGAATGACAAAATGTGTCCTGAGCCCCAGACGGGAGGAACCGCTTTTTGATGGGTTTGTGTCTCTCCACGTTAAGCAGGCTCTGGTGTCCTGTATGGTGCAAGCCTCAGTGAAGGTTTTTCCTTATTTCAGGACCATCTCTGAGGTCTCTGCCTTGCAGGGCTCCCAGATCCAGCAGAGCAGCCTCCCCGGGGAGCCTTCTGCTTTGAGTGGACACTCCTGCACTGTCCATGGCTCTCTAGAAGAAACTAGCCACAAGACGATGTTTTTGTTTATTCGCTTCAAAAGTTTCTTGTCCAGAAGTTACTGGAGAAGCTGAAGGATGTGGTTGGGAAGCAGAGCTGTGTGAAAGCGCTTTTCCAGGCTCAGGTTGGCGAGTCGGCTTCTGTTTTAAGGGAAATAACACTTCAGGGTTAGTGCTGCCACCTGAAAAGCCTCGCTTGCTTCCAGGTGCAAAGTGTCTGCAAGTGTCTGGGGAAAAAGTCATCGTTTTTATAAATCCTCGGGGTTCCCAAGAGCCCGATGCTCCATCCAACCAGTCTTTGGCTTAGCAGAGCCTTTGGCGCGCGCTGCCTCTTGGTGACATCTCGGCTTGCGAGCTTCAAACTGAGCTAGGACCAGCCTGCAGGGCTGGGAATTCCTTCAGCATCCCTGTGAGCCCCTTTATCACCAGCACTGGGTGCTGGGTGATTATATGGTTATGGAGTCTCATTTATCCCCGGAATTGGGGGGAAACATCAACACCTCCTCCCTCCCCACCCCAAGTAGCCACCGAACCCCTTTCATTGCAGCCCTTGCACCAGCGATGGTGCGTGGGGATCTTCCCCAGTCGCCCCGTGGCACCAAGCCGTGTCTAACTCCTTGTCTCCTTCTTTTCCCCCTCAGCTGGAGGTCGGCAGCGATGAAGAACGTAAATTCACTGCAAGGTAAGAGCACCACGCCGCCCTGCACGCTGCTTCCCCTCCCGGTAACGGGCTGCCGTGTCCCTTCTGGCTCCGGATCTTCGGCCAGGAGCTGCAGGAGCGGCTGCCCGCGGTGGCTGCACGGTCAGGCCTGCGCCCACCAGAGCTCCACACCCTGGGAATGGTCTTTCCCTTATCCATTTGGTTTTGGGGTGAGCATTTAATGAACTGAAAGTCTGCAAGAGGGCTCATTTATTCCTCTTGGGTAGAAACTGGGGAATTGCTCATGCAATGTGGCCACAAAGCTGTTTTCTCAATGTCTGTCTGCTCTGAGGTTGGATATTTGGAGGGCCTAGGGAAGGGATGGGAAGAAAGCTCTGTTCTTTCCTGGGTATTGAAGAAACGGGAATTTGATTGGGCTATTGGGAGTGGGAATGTGTCCTGCTTTCTTCAGCACAAAAGGATGAAAAAAAGGACAAAGAATGAGCGGATGGCGTCAGTGCTGGTACAAGCATGGGGGGATGCCGGCCCGGAGGGGCTCCGGGCGGTTCTGTGGGTTGTTCTCCCCAAACCATCAGCCCTGGCAGCCCCCGACCTGCAAAC